TTGTGCACTCTTCACTCTGCCCTGGACAGGGCTTTCGCATCTGTTCTCACATTGCATTTTACACTCCTCTTGTCCCTTGAACGTTGTTGAACAGTTTTTCCTTTTCTTGGAGTAAATGACCTATTTATGTTTTGATTTGCATTTTTTAAGACTCAAAATACCTGGTTTTCTTATTTTATAGCTTTCAGAATGTTTTGTATAGTGTAGCCTTTTCATTCAAAGCTATAAAACGTACTGATTCCCTGTTGTCTTTTGTCTTTATTATTTAGTGAATTTCTTTCAAAGAGCTTAACCCCATGTACTTAATCTGGTTCATTTCATATAAACCACGATTCACCTGATGTAACTTACACACAAAACACATGCTGAGACCTGACATCCAGAATGGACCTGTGAAAGGCTTGCTGTTAGAAGCATTACTCACTTTTGGTATCTTATGGTCTTCAGAGGAACTGCTGCAGAGAAGCAGATGTGCTGTAGTTCTCAGCAGTAATGATGGTGTATGTGCTATTGGCACAACTTTTAGGAGCTGGGGTTTAGGAAAATTGCTGCATGTCGTCAACTAGAAGGAGAGAGCACCACCACCTGCAGAGAGGGGAGCTATAGAAGCCGCCCATGTTGTGGTTTGTGTTATGAATGTGTCTGAACCTCAGACTGTCCATTTCCCCATTCAGTCTTTGCTGGGGACTACTGAGACTCACATGCTGTGATGTTGCAGAGCTCTGTGTGGATACCACCTTTTCACCCCAGCAGAGCTCTGGTATTCTTTCAGAGCTACATCTCTGACAGTGACTAGCTATTAAAATTACTAGTATGTATGTAAAAAAAACCCTTGTTTTCTTTTTTAATCACTGTATGGTAACAGTGATAAATCAGCTTTTTTTCATCTTTTTGGTACATTTCTGATGGCAATGTTCCCCCATAATGAACGTCTCAGTTTTTAGAGAGGAGGTTGATAACTGTAAGCTAAACACAGCTCTAAAGTTGGAGATATAACAATGTTTTGTAAGGAAAATAAAGTATTTATTGTTCAGTGTGACTTGGAAACAACCATTTGCTTACCTGGGTGAGATAAGTGGTGTGATGTTTCTGCTGATTGGAAGAATTGCTGAACATAAAACTGAAACAAGATCACTTCTTAATGTTTTTCTTTGGGTTTCTCCTTCAGCTAGAGAGACTTAAGAGAGAATGCAAGTCCAGAAAGACTTCTGCTAAACAAATAAAAGACAGCAGGTTGCCAGTCAGTGAGGTTAAAGTGACAACTACAATAAGTGCAAAAGGAAAGAATACAGGTCCCATCAAAGTGAAGCCTGGAGAAAAGAGTCGGAAAAATCTTCAGTTGCTGAGAGACATGCAGACCATACAGACTTCTCTACAGAAAGATGATGTCAGCTGGGACTACTGACTCCTCTGCAGGAGATGTTCTTGAAGCATCCTGGGCAAACTTGCATTCTGGATCTAAAGCAGCTGCCTTTCTTGCTGTGTGGAAGAGACTACTGTGCGCTAAGCACACTTTTGAAATACAGGCTTACAGGCTCTTGGCTCTCCATCCCTGCATTTGATTGTATATCTGCATTTGATTGTATATATTATGGTCTAGCTTAAATCACATTCTATTTTCAAGGTACATGGCCCGTGAATCTTAACAGTAGGGTTCCCCCTGTTCCCTACGTTATGGTTCCAGCAGTCCTCCTGTTTTGTTCCAGCATGCCAAGCACTGCACACGTACGTGGGTTGGTGTGTGTGTGATGTGCCAGTGCCATTTCCTGCTGTTGATCTGGGAGGCCTCTTGGGATGCATCTTGTGTGAAAACAGTGCTGCAGTCCTGGATGTTGAGGGCTTTTGTCAGTTCTGTTCTGTGTGCAGCTGCAATGACTCCATCTCTGCAGCGTCTGAGGGACAACAGGTAAACCCCTTCAAAGGTGTTCTGTGGGGCTCTCCTCAAAAGGCATCCCTGGTTCTTGATCTGCTACATTGCATTAGTCAGCATCAATGGGAGTGGAAGTTTGAGTGCTTAGAAAAGGAGCAAAGTAACTTATGAATTACATTGCTTAATGATCAAGTGAAATTTTTATACAAAAATCCTGCTTTAGGAAAATGCTGTAGGGTAGGGGGTGATACCCTGTCTCTAGCTGACAGCTTTGGGCAGTAAAGGAGTGAGAGAAACCACGCAGGTGTTTTAAACTGCAAGTGCCTCAATCGTGCCATTTGGTCCTGGCATCTTGCTTTTAACTTAATTATGTGCTTTGATGAGCTATCAACTTTGCTAGTAGTGCAATTAAGTTTGTGCTCTGACTCGCACAGCTGATTAAATGTTATTTATTATGTTAATAATGTAAAGAATTTCCTGTTAGTGGAATGTATAGAAGACCCAGATTACCTGTATATACAGTTGAAAAATAATAAAGCCAGCTTGCCTGTTGAATGAATTGTGGGAAAGCTGCACTTCCTCTCTATTAGCTGGGTGTTTGCTGCAGCACTGTGCCACAGCCAGTGGGCTTTTTATGGCAAAGTGACTTCTTCCTGGTCAGGGTGATGAATGAGAGCTGCAGAGTTAGAGTCAGAGCAGTCTACCCCTGCCTGTAGCTGAACAGGCAGGGAACTCTGCAGGGTTAACACAGGCACAAGGGAGTTGAGTTTGTTGCCTGTTGGTGATCCACCCAGCTTGTCTCCTTGCACATCAGGTGTTAGCTGCTGTTAGATGCTGCTAACCAGGTATAATGGTTACTATACTTTACTGCTATACTTATATAACTATACTTTACTACTTAAAGAGCTGTTCATGCCAGGAGTCCTGAAAAATCAGTAGCTGAAACTGACACTTGGTCATTTTGCTTGGGAAGGACCTCTGGAGACAGCCCTGTCCCTGAGAGGAATCAAGGCCAGGTTTGATGGGGCTTTGAGCAACGTGGTCTCTGCCGGTCAGGGGAGTTGGAACTGGATGATCTTTGATGGTCCCTTCCACCTCAAACCATTCTGTGATTCTGTTTTTATAATACTGAGCAGTTAAGTGCTGGTCTGTATGGGACAAATGAAACTTGTCCAAAGATGAATCTTTGCTTTCTGTCATTCTAGATTTCAGAGTTTTAACATTAGCAACTTGACCCTCTACAGAAGAACGAGAGAGATTGGATTTCACACACTGAACTTGCAGTGCTATTTATTTAATGTCTGCATGTCCTGCAAGTCCTTTGGAAAACCACATAGTTGAAAATAAGAGCACAGGAATTTTATCCATTTATCCATTTTTATTAGCATTAAGGAAACTGAACAGCCTTCATCAAGAAACAAAATATACACACAAAGTCAATTTGCTAATACAGAATAATGCTTTAAACCATCTTATATAGTGATTGTAGGTAAGAGCAGACCTGCCCTTTAACCTCAAAGCAAATCCAAGTCCTTAGGAAGTATTTTGTGTGGATTCTTTGCACTATTGAACCATAATGTGACAGGCCACCCCTTAACAACTGTGGCGATGCTATGCAGCCTGTTACTCATCCTGTTGGAAGGTGGCTGTGGATTTCTCTGTAAGCATGGTGTGGTGATTGCAGCAGTAGAGCAGGCAGAAATGGGAGACTGCAGGAGGAATGGCTGCTAACTGCCTTGGAAGGAATATGGCTTTTCAAAGGCCATTTCTTAGGTGGGAATAGGTCTGCTCTTGTGCACCCTCCAAAAATCCTCTAGTGGAATAGCAGCTGAGTGAAGCAGCTGACAGGTATATTAAACAGGTGCCCACAGTCTGGGATCTGGTCCTAAAAGAGAACACAGGAACCCCCACCAAGCAGTACCCCTTCTCCTCAGCAGAGAGGTGGAGAAGCAGCCTTGCACATACTTAACTGTCTTTGCTCTAAGGCCCCTCCTCTGCAACCCTGTGCTTACCTGTTGGGAATAGCAAGGGGCAGTCATGGTTTCATCAAGTATGTGTTATCCCCTACAGTAAATTTTTGTATTAAAATTCAATTTGAGTTTGGTTGAGTGACACCAATCCTTGAAACAGACTATGAGGAAAAAGGGTTTAGAAAATGGCTAAGCTGTTCAGCCAGCCAGAAAAACCTAAAGCAGCAGTTGCAATGCAGGCAGAAAGGCGTCTTTGGTCGATGCACAGTTGCTTCCATTAGTTAGCAGAAAGCTGAAATACCATAAGTACACCACTATAACCCTGCACAGAAGCATTAAAATTGCTAATTATGCTTACCCAAGCAAAATGTAATGGCTGATCCCAGCAGTTCACATGTGCCCCTTGGTATTCCACTACCTTTCCCCTGATGACTATGAGGCACTGGAGGCCAGAGGAGCTGTGGAAAGCCCAGGGGAGCCACGCTCTGCTCCCCACTCTGAAATAAAGGTGCTTAAGTTGCATCCTGGCACACCCACTGTAAACCGTGAGAGAGATTCTAAAGTTGCAGAGACAGAAGTAAATGTTGTCCTACAAAATCATGTCCTGTATTGTTGCTCCTCTACCGCAGTGTTTCATTGGGAGAAGCTGCCCTTTCTTTATAAATAAGGCATCATTTGCATGGCTTCCTATGATCTAGGTTGAAGTGAAGGGAATGACTTGTTTCAGACACTGCTGTTGCTTGTTTCCAGGGGTGCTGGCAAACGCCCTCATTGACTCTGCTGTGCAGGTGGGTGTGTGATGGCACAGCTGCATCTGAGGCTCCAATACAAAGTCAGGTTTGGCCTTTCAAACTTGTGGGCAGACATTTTTCCTCCACGGTACTTCATGCTCGTGCACAGGCTCTTTCCAGCCAAGTGATTTCCAGCACATCAGTGAACAAAGAGCAAGCTCCAGGCTTCTTACAGGTGGCAAGTGCAATTGGCTTGTATTATAAGCTAGCCATTGAGAAGGGTAATTGCATAGGGGGACTCGACTGTGTTGGGTTTTGCTTTAAGCTTTCTCTAGTGCTACAGCACTAATAAATTACCCTGGAGAGAAATAAATAAATAAGTTGGCATCTCCCAGGCACCATGCTGGAAATCCAGGAGGTTTCAGAAAAGCTGCCCCCCGTGGTCCTGGGAAGGTAGTCAGCAAAACAAAAGTCTGTATTATACAACTGTCTGTACGGGAGCGACACACTGTGCGGGAGAGCCGGCTCGCTCCGAGGATGAGGTGGAACGGTTGGTGATCTCTCTCTGCAGTTCCTCCACTTTCTTCTGCAGCTCAGCCCGCTTGGCCAGAAGCTCCTTGTAGCGATTGTGAACAGGTTCCTGCAAGGAAATGGGTAGCTGAGCACTCGGAGGTCAGTGTGGAAGAGGGAGCCTGAAGCGCAAAACTGCTGCTGACCTTACAGACAGCTCTGAGGGAAGGAGCAGCCCTTCAGTCTCCAACCCAAGGTACCTGAGTGGTTGCTCTGGCTCTCAGATGCTCATTTGGATCCAACGTGCACGGTGCAGTGGTGGCTAAACATGACAGTCTGTACGTATTTTGAAAGATGACAGTTGCCAGACTCTGATCTCTGACATTTCTGGGGGACACTGGCCATGGCATCTCAGCCTGGACATAATTTCAGGGGCTTGGGAGGAAAAATCCCAGCCAGGTTCTTCTAAACATTTTCACGTAGTTCTGACTGTTGAACAGTCAGTACTGCAAAGTGTTTGGTGGGTTCCTGTCTCTGACACTGCAGATCTGCAAAACTGCTACCTGCAGACAGGCACTGAAGCAACTGGGAATTTTTATCCCTTTCTACTAAAAAGTGATTATCAGCATTCAAGGTCATGCTCAGACTACTAGTCTGAGGTGCCTGCCGTGGGCAAGCCAGCTTCCCTGCTGGCTGGGGTCAGGCCCCTGTGCCTCAGGCAGCCAGAGCAAGCAGCAGGTTCCCAACACCAGTAATTTAAATACAGCCCCAAAATTCCTATATAGAACCCCATATTCAGAGAAGTCTTAGGTGTTTTAAGATCTTTTGTAAAGAGAGCTCAGATAATTTTTCCCACATTGTAAGTGAGGAATTTCCCAGCTCCTGCAGATTTCACAAGGTGGTGATGTCCAGCTGAGCACCTGCATTAGGCAGCTCTAGGCGGTGCTTGCTCTTGCTGGCATTTGAATTTCCGTGTTTGTTTCCAGATTTAAGCAGCGGTGGCATAAGTTTGTAGTTTGTACATTACCAAAGGTCCTGACCTCCAAAGTAACAATATTGGTACTGGCAGAGAGGGAAGCAGGAGTAGGAAGAGGCGTACCTGAGGCTTCATCCTGGGGTTCCAGCGGATGTAGTAGCCGACCCACAGCTCGAGGTGGCGCATGCTGGCCACGGGATACAGGACGTGGTTGGAGTAGCTCACGTACAAGGGGTTAGTAAAGTCTTCCAGTTGGCTGTTGATGTAAGACCAAAGTGATACAGTCTTTTTTGGAAGGCTCTGTAAGGGAAGGGGGTGGAGGAGGCTTTATTTGCCATACGAATCCCAGCTATCTACAAACTGTAGCAGCCTAGACATATGCCTGTCATTAATACGGAGCTGGTTGTTTTTTATAGCTTAAAAAAAACCAAAACCCAAAACTCTTCTTTTGCTGTGGTTATTGTACTCAAAGCACATGGATGCAGGCAGGCACACACGCCCTGGCACGGAACAACCCCTCTGACCCACCCAGCTGTCAACATAGATCAGGAATCACCACTGCTACAGCGAGGGGACACTGGCAGTACTTCAGTTAAACTTCACTTCTCTGAAGTGCTCCTGGAGGACTTGCTGGAGTATTTAATTGCAAAGGAAGAAAAGAAAACATGTGACTTAGGCCCTGCTATAGTGGAATAATTATGCCTATGAATACTCCCACTGAAACCAGTGCTGAAGTACTTTCTAGATTAAGTACTTCACTAGGCGGAGGCCTTTAAAAAAAACCCAAACCCACGTGCAAACAGCATGCAAATCTTCTTCCCTAGAAATGATAATTATTCTATCACTGTGGACTCCAGAGAAACAAGGACACTGATTTCACTGTAGTAAAACACTATCACTTCTATTTTCCAGGTAGTTTTTATGATTATTTTTAACTGATGTTCTATCACATGTAATCACATCAGGTCCACACAGCACTGCCCTCGTGTACCTCTGTGCTGTTAGGCTGCAGCCTTTGGTGACAGAATGCTTCATCTTTACGTAGGTGAGACAGAGTGAGTGCCACTGTTTTCCTTATAATTCCAGACTGGGTCTGGATGTACCCATCTCTACACTCCTCCCTGGGCAAACAAACCTTGGCCAGACTGCAGGGCAGAGCTGGCTTGTGGCAGGACAGAGAGGCACGTCCTTAATAATAGTAGGAGAGTTGTCCTCTCCTGGGAAGATGCAAGCACAGCAAGAACACACATAAAGACCAGTTACTTGCTGTAACCTCTGTGTGCAGAATGACAGCACACACTAGGTAGTTAAAAGCACCCTAAAGGGATCACTTCAAAGACAAGGCATGACAAAAAAGTACCATTTCCCACAGAGAAGGTTTCAGTAAACTGAAGTTCAAAGCAAAACTGCATTTCCACTACTTGGGAGACACCAGGAGCTATTCAACCACTAGTGACTAACTGGAAGTAGACAGCGTGTCCAGAAAGGAGACGGTGTTGCTCTGAAACACGAAGCCTCCAACAGACAGCAGTTTATGCAAAGAGGAAAATCCTCCAAGTCCCACCTCTTGAGAAGGGGACTTGGCATTTCCCAGACTCACACCTACAACTACCTCTGTGTGAGGAACCAGCTTCTGTAGCAATATCTGGCCAACTAAAGCAATCAGGAACAGGCTTTTACCTTGCAGAGAAGCTGTCTTACCTCCTTCACTCTCTGCTGCTCACTGCTGCACAGGAAGGTCCCAAACAAACAGCTGTACAGATGATCCAGGATGGTGATCAGGAAGTACTCATTGAACTCAAATGCTGTAGGAAACTTTAGGCAGAAACAGAAAATTAGATTGGGATTTTCAAACAGGAAAATAAACCTTCTCCCATGCTGTGGTCTTGGTAAGGAGTTGGCCTCTTGATTTCTAGAACAGGATCTGTCCCTGTTCCCTGCCTGGCTGGATATTCAGGGTCATATTTGCTCCTTCCAGGAGCAAGGAGTTTCCCTCTTGGAAAGCTGCTTTGCATGTTCAGAGAGGAATTTTGAGCAAAAGCCAGAGGTCTGAGCGGTTAGAGCACTCTGTTTATGTACACTCAGTGCTGCTTCAAATTGAAGCTTGCTCTGCTATGCCTGTCCCTTATGACAAGCCATGCAGCCAGATTGTGAACAAAAGGCACACGTGAAATAAATACATTCAAAAAGTGGAAATTTCCCAGGGCCAAATGGAAATAACCTGGGTGCCTAACACAACACTTCCTAGAGGGAACAGCAGGAGGCACCTTGTGACAGAGGTCAGCAGGAGCAAAAGGTCTGTGGGCACAGGCCGTGTTTGCTGCCGAGTTCTGTGCAGAAACAATCTAACCTGGGACAGGGACAACTGAAGCTCCACAAAGGGTCAATAAGAACAAATGCAGTGAACTGCAAAGACATGCAGGGGTGATGGAGAGGAGAGCAGGAGGCCTTCCTCCCTCACAACCACCCTCCTCTTCCCAGACTGCCCCAGTTGTGGCATCCTGACCTCAGTCTGGGAAAGGTCAGGATGCCCAGCTGTAGAAGCAATCTAAGGAGACCATAATGAAAGTGACTTTTGATGATGGCAAAGCCTCCTCTTCTCTCTGCATGGATGTGGTACAGTGTCATATATAGTGCCATCCTTCCTTTCCACTTCTCCTGGTTTAACCCAGGGTGAGCCTAGCTTTTTTTCAGTGAACTGTCTGACCACAGCTGACTTTTGTATCACAGAAGATCCAAAAAAACCTTCCAGGTTCCACATGCCTGGGGAAAAATCTCCCAGACATAGGGGATCTCTCCTGGACTGTACCTTTGCCATGCCAGGTCTGAAGTGAGGCACTCAGCTCTGTACCTCACATAATGAATTGGGAGCAGTACATTTGCCTTCAGAAGCTAAAATGGAACATGTTACAGCATCAGCTTGAGCACAGGCTACAGGGATCTGTTGTACCCACCGTGCTAGGGACTTACATTAGCAAGTGCTCTCAGGCTCTTTGCTAAACAGACTCCTGAAAAGCCTGCTGCCAGAATCAAAGCAGGAGTACAAGCCCAGGAAGGAGAGGCTGCACAGGTCAGCTTGGAAACCATTCCTGTGTCCAGACACCATGCAATGTCTCGGTGCACCGTGCATGGCTCTGAGGACACAGTGCCACACAACAGTTTACCTGTCTCGTCATTTGCCAGACGCAGTCGATGAACTGCAGGAAGACGGGAGAGCGATCCGCATCCGCGTGGTTCTTGTCCCCGTGGCCAACTCTCTGAAACAGCAGGACAAAGAACACGAGTCACACAGGCCTTCGTGAGGAAACTGCTTCATGGGGCCCTCAGTCACCTAAACCTTTACCAACGGCTTTAAAAAACTTCAAATGAGTCCTGATATTGCTCTGTCCCTATCAGTGGGTAAAGAAGTAAAGACAGCTACTCTCTTTGTCTTTGAAGTGAAAATTCTTTATGGGGATATTTTCAGGCTAAGTTAAAACAAGAGTTGTTCAAGTAGAGGCTCCAGATGCTATGCTGGCACTGATTTCAGTTAATAACTAAAGTTCAGAAGGAAGAAAAATGAGAATGCTTTTTGCTTCAGTTGCAGCTGTTGTCCTGGCTACTTCAGTAGTAGAGGGTGCTAGATGCAAACACTACCTACAGGCATGGCATGCGGCGATAACCGTCATGCAACACCTCGCCGCTTCCAAGAGCTGTACAAACACCAGCCCAGCCCATCTCCTGCCACCTCCTGAGAGGCAGTAATGACAGTATTCCCAGAGGCAGCCTCCAACCCTGACAGTGCTGTGTGGCCAACATGTGTGAGGCATGACTCCTCAGAACTAGCAGAGTACATTAATGGTTATGTATTACCTGGGAGCCCCAAGTAATACAAAGATAGAACAAGAACACGTAAGTAACAGAGATCCCTAAAACTGTTCTCCCCTCACCAAAGGAAATCACCCTTGGTGTGGGAAGACCAGTGAAGAAGCTAAAACACTCATTGCTCAAATACCAGAAAACAAGTTTTGCTGCAGCAGAACCTCAGTCACTTTAGTGCCTCAGTTTCCCCACCTTCAGAGCATTTGACAGTGCAATCCACCACTGCAAGTGCTGCACACGGACCTTGTTCTAGCCCTTGCAATATTAACAACCACTAGAGAACAGCTACGAGCAAAACACAATAGGAACAAAGACTGAAAGGATAGTACTGAAAGGCTCTCTCAATTCCCATCAGTGCAAACCATAACAAACTGCTGTGTCACAAGCCCACAAAGCTGCCTCTCTGCCAACTGCTTGGGCACAACCACAAAATACTCTTGGTCCAGGCTCAAACTGCTGCTCTTCCACCTAAATAATTAGAAGCCTCTCCAAAAATAAAGTGTGCCTGAAGAAAATGTGAGGTCAAAGCTATAAACAAATTCCCAAACCTCTTCAATACAAAAACATTTCTTAGATGATGGTGCCCAAGCAGTCTGAGAAAATGGACTGAACTGGAAAGAAAGACAAAAAATACCTAGTGGTCTCTGCCAGCTCCCAGCAGAAATGCCAGCACTGAACCCAAAGCACACTGCTAGTTTAAGCTTAAGCATGGGAACATGACATCAGCAGTCAGACACCTGAGATATTTAAATGCCACATGTTCCCTGTATCTAACCAATACTGTCCCAAGGAGGTTAAAAGGTGAATGGAATTATAGGTAGAAAACAATAACATCAGCATTCACCTCTCTTTTGTGAGTTCAGCCAGGAAACATCTCACAGGAAATGTTAAAACTCCTCTAAAAGCCTTCAAGAGGGACAACAACTTTCTGTTCAGTGCCTGCCATGGGCCAGTGACTCACCAGCTGAAACCTGTGGCCGAAGCTCAGCCACTCCTTCTCCACGAGCACTTCAAAGCCCCTGATGGTGCGGTAGTAGCCATCCAACATGAGCAGGGCGAGAGAGGTGAGCTGGGCTGTGCGGTCCCAGCCGTCACTGCAGTGCACAACCACCGACGTCTTCCCCGACTCCACTTTGTCAGCAATCCGAAGGGCTCCAGCAAGGATGAGCTAGGACAAGGGAGGAAACAAATTGCAAAATCTCTTTGGAACAGAAACTATAAGTGAAAAATGGCTAGTGACAGCACAGGTCAAAGCAAGGGCTCTGCTTGCCTCAAGGAGAATGGTAAATCAGTTCCAACTACTTTATAACTAGGATGGCAAACCGGTGAACACATTTTCTATTCCAGCAAGATGACGACACATCTGAACTGCAGTGTAGGCACAACTCTAGAAGAGCCCTTGCTCAGTCCTTGGACAAGTCAAGATTTAAATGCAGGAGCATTTAATGTCTGATAGGAAAGGCCATCACCTTGCAGCTGCCCCAGGAGCACATCTGCCCTTGCCTGCATTGGCAGAAGCTGGACATTTTTAGAACAGAAAGAACATTATTTGAAAACCAGCATCTGGAGAAGCCAAAACATTTTGCCTCCTTATTCTCATTCTGCTTGGACTCTTGAACGGCTGAGAGGGCCCAAATTTCCAGAACTTGCTTGTCTGGGCCAGGCAATAATGCCAGGATGTCAAGGAGCTGAGCCAAGACCGTGGAAACTCTGTGACTCCTGAGTTCTAAGCAGAGCTTTCACAGTTATACATCATCCAGGAACATCCTTCACTTCCAAAACACCATCTTTCAGTATTTCAGCCCCCTCTCTTGTCCCTCTTCTCATCTCCTTAAAATTCCTCACTCCAAGAAACTATGGTTTTAATTGCTTATAAATGGAAAACAATGGAATTGAAAATCGTGGAGTTAGCTCTGGATATCTTTCCCAGACTGGTAAGGACTTGTGGTTGCTCAGCCACATGCAGTGGATGCAGACATGCATACCTTGATATGCTCTAGCCAGTGAGTTGACTCCAAATTAGACAGCCAATGAGTCTCCTCGATATTGGGATACACAATTTCTTTCAGTTTTCGCAGCGACTCTCTCATAACATGAATGTTGTGAATATCCAGGAACACTAATTCTGCATTCTGATAGGCATCCTCGCTCTCATAGCCCCCTCCTTTAGCCTGAAGAACAAAATTCACATACAAATCATTAAGCAAAACCATGTTTTGTACTTTATCCCAGTCATTTGTCCTGAGCAAATAGCAGCTGACAAAATACCACAGTGGCTGGGCTATCTAAAGCAGGAAAAACCCATTGGCTTTATCTTACAGCTGGGAGCAAACATGTACAGGCACACACTTTGTGTCTCTCTTCTGCAATACCTAATGAATGCTGTAGTTTTTACCAAAGAATATCACATTACAAGCCTTCTTTTCCTCTGTAATTATAATTTATCCCCATTCAAGCTGTTAACTCATTACATTAGCTAATCTATCATTTAAAAATTTACCATACTATTACAGAGGAGGATAACCCACACACTAATTGCCTTCCCTAAGTAATGGGAAAGGCAGATTAAAAAAAAAAAAAAAAAAAAAAAAAGATCTTTATTGCAACAAAGCAGCTCCACCATTGAAACAAAGCTTGACGTGGTGGCATGGAACACAATTTTTAGAAGGGTAGAATGATGGACCCCAGGAACTACTGACCTGTCAGCCTCACTTCTGTGCCTGGCAGGATCATGGAACAGATCCTTCTAGAAGACATGCTAGGGCATGTGGAGGACAGGGAGGTGAATCAGGATAGCCAGCATGGCATCACCAAGGGCAAATCCTGCCTGACCAGCCCAGTGGCTTTCTATGACGGAGAGACTACAGCAGCAGACAAGGGAAGGGCTGTGGGTGTTATCTACCTGGACTTCTGTAAAGCCTTTGCCACAGTTCCCCTCAACATCCTTCCCTCTAGACTGGAGACGATGGGCAAACAGTTTGATGGATGAGGAGTTGGATAGTCACAGCCAGAGAGTAGTGGCCAATTGCTCAATGCCCAGGCGGTGGCAAGTGCCGTCCCTGAGGAGCCCGTACTGCGACTAGCACTATTTAATATCTTCATCAGTGACACAAACAGAAGGATCAAGTGCACCCTCATCAGGTGTGCAGATGACACCAAGCTGAGTGTACAGCTGACACTTCTGAAGGATGGGTTGTCATCCATAGGGATCTGGACAAGCTCAGGAAGTGCGTCCATGGGAACCCCATGAAGTTTAACATGACCAAGTGCAAGGTGCTGCGCCTGGGCTGGGGCAACTCCTTGCACCAGCTCAGGCTGGGGGATGAACAGATCAGAGCAGCCCTGCCCAGGACTTGGGAATGCTGGTGGATGGGGGCTGGATATGACCCAGCCATGGGCACTCACAGCACAGAAAGCCAATCCTGTCCTGAGCTGCATCCAGAGCAGAGTGGGCAGCAGGGCCAGGGAGGGGATTTTGCCCCTCTGCCCTGCTCTGGTGAGACCCCACCTGCAGGGCTGCATCCAACTCTGGGGTCCCAGCACAGGAAAGACATGGTCCTGTTGGATCAAATCCACAAAGATGATCTGAGGTCTGGAGCACCTCTCCTGTGAGGAAAGGCTGAGAAGGGAAGGCCCTGGAGGGATCTTACAGCAGCCTTCCAGTACTTAAAGGAGGCTAATAAGAAAGATGGGGACAGATGTTTTAGTTGGCCTGTTGTGATAGGACAAGGGATAATGGTTTGTAAGTAATAGAGGGTAGAGTCAGACTAGACATAAAGAAGAATTTTTTTTTACAATAAGGGTGGTAAAACACTGGAGCAGGTTTTCCAGAACAGTGGTAAACGCCTCATTCTTGGAAACATTCAAGGTCAGATTGGACAGGGCTCTGAGCCCTGTTAAGAGGAAGCAGTCTTTCAACTATGTGAATTGAAAAATGGTGATACACAAGGGCTAGGGTGCTAGAGTCTGATCTCAGTGCTACTTCAATTTTTTTTCTTTCCCCTTCCAATGTCATTTCCCATTGTAAATTAATATAATGGATCATCAGCAGTCACACCGATATCTTACTAATACCAGTGCAGGTATAAAAGTCTGTCTAGAGAATCAGATTCATTGCACTCAGACTTCTTCTGCACTGGTTAAACCCTTGTGATCCTTAAGAATAATATGAAATGGTGGTGGGAAATGTGCTCCAAATTATTACATTCCCAGTTTTAGACAGAGGAAAAAGCACCCAACCTTATTGGCTACAGCATTCACACTAGGCCTTGCATCAAATATGAAGATTTTATGGGACTGGGCATTAGAATCCATGATGGCCTGAAGGTACTTTTCATCTTCCTTGCTCCGCTTGCCACTCACTCCCACCATGGGCTGGCTGCAGCGCGTGATCGTTGCTTGACTTTCTGGGTGAATCCATGACAAGACCTTCAGAAACAAATGGGAAATAAATAAAGGAGAAATGGGATTCATTAAACCAATTAAGTGAATTACCTGTAATGGCTTGCTCTGGGATTCTCTATCAGGGGGTTGCAGAAGGCTGGATTCTATTAAATCACAACTGAATGAAAGAAAGAACTCTTCTGTCTTTATTCATTCTGGTGGCATTCCCAAAGTTTGAACAAACAAAAGGCGATCAAATTGTTTGAGTCTGACTTTTAAATATGATGCAGACTGGTTTTTCTGGCTGTTATGTAAGTCAGTATGTGGGCTATGTCATACTTTACGGTACACCACGCAAAAGTTAAGCACTTTAGGAACAGACTGAATTTCCTATAGACTTGAGGAGTAAACCAGTACCTTTTCAGTTATCTCTGAAATAATCATCATTAACAATGTGCTTTGTCGTAATTTCATTAAATAAATACTCTCATCAAGACTATCACTACGTATTTCTCTGTCCTGAAAGTCAGAGTAGGCCAGACAATTGTAAACAGCCAAAAAGGGCTGCCTTGTGTTTCCCAGGAACTGAACTGAGATTTGGTCTGAGTTGTGCTAAATTATCTTATCTTCTAGTTTTGGTTTAGTCTACATCTCTTTCACAACAGTATTTTCAGCAGATACTGTTGTTTTCTATGTCCTTAAACATGTTGTTGTCACTTTTATTATCCGCTGACCATTTATTTGCTGCCTGGAATCTACTCAGCCTGATCTTGGTATTACTTATTGCCCAAAGGTATGTGTAACAAAACCACATCAAAGTGGCTTCTTCTGTCCCACTCACTGGTATGCGTCCTCTGGATCTGAAGGATGCCACTCTCTTTAACTCCTCGTCGGGAATGTTCACAGGCACAGCTAGAATGGCAGGGTATGTATCACACAGCTCATAGCGCTCGTTAATCTTGGTCAGCCTCCAGCTTTCATTGGGAATTCCCTAAAGAGGAAACTGCAGGTTAGCAAATGAGTTGCTCTGAGACCTCAGCACAGACAAATCCCCAGACCTGAAATTCAAGGCAACTTTTGTTAATGTAGGTCATTTAGGGCTGGCACCCGGGAATGCATTATCCTGGTAATTTGCATTTCATGTCTCTCCCCAGAGAGGCGGATGCTTTGTTCAAGTCACTGAAGAGCAGGGAAACTGGGCTTCAGGCAGGGTCACCTATGGCAAAGGAGCTGTGGTGGCTACACAGCAGCTTGCAGCAACACAGGTGGTTTGCCCTGACTCCAACTTTAAGATACCTCCTGGTCTCATCATGGGCTTACAGGAGAGCCAGGAGCAGGACAGAATGGGTGACCAACTCAGTCCCCTCATGGCACTTAGATCAAATGTGTTGGGTGAAATCCGGGGATACAAAGTGGAGTTACCAGACAGGATGGAGGGGAGGGGGAGAAGGGAAACAGGCAGTAAAACACCCCAAAAATCAGCCTGACTTGGGCTTAGTTCAGTGCTTGTGGCAAAACTGTGCAAACCCCTGAAAACACCAAAAACTTAACAATTGTATGTCTCTGTTTGTATGACTGGATGTGATGTGCAATTCCCATGCTTCTATCACACTAAGCTCTCTGGTTGAACTGAGGACTTGGGCTGGGAGAGCAAGGAATCTCCACAACACATCATAGAGCTCAGCATGCTGTGATAGGGAAGCCACTCAACAGCCTCCCAGACAACAATCTCCAAGTAACACCTGAAGCAGAATGGGGATGACCCTGACAACCTGCAGACGTGGTTTAGCTGAAGCTGGGAGAGAACAAGCCAACAGGGAGTGGCTGGTGCAGCTGCCACCAGAGAGATTTAAACACGCCCCTACTGCAGCAGGGGTGAGCACTGACAAAAGCATCTCTGTGGGGAAGACACATCTGCCGCAGCAAGCATGGCCAGCCTGTGAAGCACCGAGTGTGTTTGAGGGGAACATCAACTCCTTGCACAATACACGCCTCTGTTCTAATAAACACTACTGCATTTTGAAGCAGGGTGGTGGGACACTGATCACCACTGTCACAGCTCCCACAGGAAATAAACGGCACATCTGACACGGGTCAGACGAGCTGTGATAATTATGGCTGACCCACACAGACTGCGGCCGCGCTCCCATCCCAGTGGTGAGTCACGCTGTCAGAAGAGGTCATGGTTAGAAATCTGAGGGGAGGCCAGACCTTCTGTCTAGCATCAGTCACACACTCTGCTTTGTCAACCACTGCTGTCCTTTGGCTCTCCCTGAGAAGGAAATGTTACTACAAGGATCACCCCAAAAGCTATTTTTGGCCCAGTCTGAAGCCAAACAATTGGCAGAACCAGACATCAAGCAGTGTGTATACACAGTTCAAGCTTACTGATAGGTAAAACATGCCAGAGGTCTACCTGCTGTACACAGCAAGGACGGAATCTGCTGGGCCCACCAGCTCTGCTGCCAGCCAGGGAATAGCTAGGCTCTTGCCAGTGACCAATCTCTTCACTACCTGGAAGCGGATTAATGGCTAATTAGTTCTCAGTCCTGTCCTAATAAGCACATGCAATGGATCCAGAAGCAATTCCTGAAAACTTCACCTCCTCCAAATCTGAGTGTGCTGTCAGCACAGTCTTTGCAAGAAAAACGGGAGCTAACAAGCAGCTACATGGAAGAAAGGCTCCTTTTCATTTTACCAGTGCTCACGGAGAAGACCAAGGAGTGGGCACTGGAAAGCACCCTCTTCACAGTGCTGGGCAGTGTGGCTTCAGAACACACTGCTTGGGCCAGCTAAAAGCTAAAAAACTCTAAAGCTCTCCAAAGCTCTAAGCCTTTCAGCTGCCACACTGACAAATTTGAAGGAAATCTTTCCTCTGCAACAGCCCAGACCAGAAAAATCCATGACGAGCCCACAAAGAAAGAAAAGATGCTGCATGTCAGCATTCAAATTTCTTTTGACTCGTGGGGAATGTCTGCTTTTCCCTGGCCCAGGAGCCTTGAATCACAGCACCACCCAGAAAACTTCGGATTTGGATCGTGACTTTCTCTAAGGACTGGAAGCAAACAGAAATAAGCCAAGTGGGCTAGAAGAGAAGCTGAATTTGCATCTTCCTTGGACGTTTGCCATAATGCAGTGTAGCTTCTGCATTTATTCGTGCTCCTTCAGATTTGCCCTTTCTCCAGCTGGAATCAATAGAAAAAGCTAAACGTGATATAAAGCACACTGGTATTTCCTCATCTACGATGCATTTCACTGCTTCCCGGTAAGTTGTAAGCACCCAAAAGTCTACTATGAAACAAAACTGTTACAGATGTAACTCAATAGGCCTCCGCAGGCTAAGGAGTGGCTCTGGGTGCTGTCTGCACCTGCACCTGCAGGAGGAACTCAGGCACACCTCCCTAAAAGCAGGTTGTCATCATCCCGAAGCTGCCAGGGCACATGGCACGTCCACATTAGTAACCAGAGACTTCTGCACAGGTCTGTCTTCTTCAGGTAAATTAATACTGCTAGTAGCCCCTGATTCTAAGGGAATTCATATCTCTGGTGGATGCCAGAGGGCAAACTGAGGAAGGCAGCAAAGCCACCTGTACAATAATAAATTAAATATACCATTAATAAATAATAAAATAAATAATAAATACAATAAATAATAAAATAAATATGACCATTCTCACTGAGCCCAGCTGAACTAACACACCTCACATCTGTACTAATAAACTTATTTATCCTCCAAACAAGATATTTTGTCCAAAATGCCACTGGTGATCCTTGACTTGCATCACAGTACCTTTGGTCATGGCTGAAGATGCTCAAACACACTCACTCAAAAGATGGATGGTAACAGCCTGGTCTGTAGGTATGCCTGAAACTTGCCCCTGTGCTTGGGAACACTCCTTACAACTGTATCATCTAACCATAGATACACAGCCTTTGTGTCTTTACTCCACACACAAACGAGACTTGGTGTCCCTCTAGATAAGACATTCACGCCTTATTGTAATGACTTACTGGGTTTGGTTATCACTTGATTTACAATTGATGTAGAAGATGGAGTTTCTTTGTTTGCAGGGAAAAACTGTTGAAGCCACACCAGCACAGCACCAATACCACCACCTTGCAAAGCACATGGTTAAGGTTAAGCACAAGAGGATCCTTCACTAACAGGAAAGAAATAATTTCCTTGCTGTAGTTACACACAGTCACTACTCTCTATGGGATCAAGCAGATCCACTCTGAGCTTACATATGTAAGTGCACCTTGATCTGCAGCAGGCAGCACAGGATACAGCTGCAGAGCCAAGCAGGTCCCTCTGCATTTACTGAGCCCAGGCTGTGTCCACTCAGCACCAGAGAGTTGTGATCTGCTCTGCAGTAGAATCATACACAGCATAAGCAGGACCTCAGTTAAACAATGGGACATTTAATAGTCCAATCCTCACTTTGCTCCCCTAAGTTACACCCAACAATTCTCAAGAGGATGATGTTACCAAGCTCTACCTTTCTCACTCTGCTTGTATCCTAATGCTGGGCACTTCTTCATTCCTCAAACAGATCAGTTCTTCTGAGGTATTAGTTTCTACATATCTTCCCTTAAAGCAGCAACCACAGCCCTACACTGTGGCTCCCCAGTAGATAAGACCAGAGCAAAGGATATTAGACAAGAATGACTTTTGTAAGGAAACATCACACAACTTCACAACCTCCCGTAATATTTTCCAAATGCTCCCCACCTTATTAAGGAAAATAAAGCTTTAAGTTACTCCAAAGGCATCTTAAGGACTTTTGGTTTCAAGTGAGTCTTATTCACTTTGCAATTCTGTTTTATATTCTGCCAGGCCATGTGTAATAAAAATCAGGGAGCAATTTCAGTTTTAAATTTCATTTGCCACATGTGATTCCATTTACCAACTAAATCTCAAACCTCTCTGAGTTCCTTTTGTTCTCTACAGGTTGTTTATTACTCCCCATAGTTTTACACAATCACAGATTTTTAATAAGTTACATATTTCCATCCTTCCCAAGAATGCTAACGGGGAAGTTAGGGGTTTACTGACTATCTTTCCTAATTGCTACAATTGCTATCATCTCAACATATTTCTATTAATTTCAATAAAAATTGTAATAAATAATAGCACACTCAAACTTGCCATGTCTACCAGTGTGGACACAGAAATTACCATGGGTCCTGGTCTAAAAGTCTTTTCTGGATGCCTGGTAGTTGGAGTTTACTTTTCCTCCCCTCCCCTCTCCATGTGTCCCTGCTCCCACAGGGAAAAGACTGACCTGGCATAAGATACAGCAAGTCAATGCCTGGCTGTCCTGCTGATGCCCTAGGCCAGCCCTTCTCTAACAGTTTCTAAACCAATTCCAGAAGGTCCTGCTGACAGTGCATATGTCCTGCTTTTCTATTTCTGATCACAATTCATAGAGTCAGAGACAGGTAATCCCATTATCTGATTTGATGGTGCCAGTTTTGTTTCACTGTTAACGAATCCCTGCTGCCATTTCAAGACGTAATCCTGATTTACTGTAGTATTTGTTATTGCTTTAGCAGAACCTGGTTGGATTAAGAAAAAAGGCTACGACACTCACACAGATAAATTGAACATCCATAGTTACAAATGCTGGAATTAAATAAACAGACTGAAATACCTAAAAGTTTTGGAGGGGACATAAAGCAACATGCTGCAGGACTTAAATCAATCTAACAAAAGGGATGAAATTCTCCTCCTGGCCAGATCACAACATAAACATCTACTGCAGTATGGCTTGTCTCTTCTTCAACAGCTGGTGTTGGTCACTTTTGGAGATAAGGAAGTGGAGCAGATGGATTGTGTGATCTGGAATGGTAGTGACCATGGCCCATCACGGGTAAAACTCAGAAAGGCTGTGGCTGCAAAAAATCCTGGTTTGGATTCGCTTTTGCAGTTACCAGTGTAAGGACATGACCACGGGCTTTGGCACATGGACATTAGTTTGGTTTCTTGACATAGAAGCAGTCAGGCAAGTTTGTCCTTCCCACTCTCAAATAACAAAGCAGCAGGCCACAGCACAAGTACACACTGCAGCAATGCCTCAGCTGTGTCATCTCTTACACACATTTTCGTTACAGAAAGGCCATGAAGAGCTGCAAATCACAGGCATGCAAACACATGTATCCTTTCACCATGTCACCAAATTCCTGACAAATTTAAGGTGCACCAAATCACAGTATAAAAACTAATACGGACAGAAAAGCTTCTATCATAAAAACTGGCTTGCCAGGATTTAGAAAGTGGAATAATCTACACTGAAATTATCTAAGGTCACTCTTTCCAGGTGTTGTAAAAATGTTTTTTGTACTTCACCTGCTTAGACTGATGCTTGGCTGAGTGAATGCTGTGCTTTCCAGGGGAGATTCTTTTAGTTGTTACTCCAAAATTTTCTGCCCTACAAAGAAGCACCTTGCTCAAATAGCTTGGGCTGCAAATCCTTCTCTACAAGCAGATCTTACCATAAAATAACTACCAAGAAGGAGCTAAAATCTAAACAAAGCAATAATCACTGCATTGTCTGATCTTATGCTCAAGTTGACCTTAGACACAAAGTGACTACAAACGATTGGAGCTTGTCTTGACCAGGATTTTAGATTGTGGCATCTCATTGCAAAATACTCTTTGCACTGAAGGCAGCATACAGTAGGGTACAGTAAGATACATCTCGCTTCCCATTAGCAGTCTAGAAGCCAGCAATCTATCTTAGGCAGCTATTTTAGGAGAGAACAAATCACCCCCAACAGTGAAGCACTCTCTCCCATCTGTTAATGACAGGCCTAGATAACCAATTTAGAAGGCATGCCCAGCTTTTAGAAGGCTAGAGCTAGAAAAATGAATCCTTAGGTTTTGGATTCCGGGAATCAGATGAACAACTAGGCAGGGACAGAGGTCTGGTTTTGTTTGATTTGACAAGAAAGACCCAAATAAATCTTTAAATGGTTTAAAATTTCTTAATTTCACAATAGAAAATTTGGTTTATTCTGACAGATTAATCAGAATAAAACCAATTTTTTTTCTGATGGATCTGGAGGAGACAGAAGCTTATTGTGTCCAGGGCAAACGTGCCACCAAATCACGCTCCTTTTGCTACTTGAGAATTTTATGACAGGAGTGATTTCATTATAAAAATCAAAATTCTCCCATCTTTTACTCCAAAGAGGACTACCCAAGTTTTTACCACAGTACTCCTAATTGACAGCCTGTCACTACATAATCATTAATACCTTTGATCAGTTACTCTGGACACACTGTAAATAACAGTACTCTCTAGGCTGATTCCTATGCTGAGAAACCATGCCTAAGATAGTGAAGGCATTCCACACAATTTTTTTCCTCACAAGTTGCTGTTTCAGACAGAAAAACCTGGAAAGAATTAAAACCAATACAAGCAAGCACTGAGGTGTGAAACTCAACAATGGGATGCATGTACCTGGAACATGCACCCTCCATTCCCCACTGCCAGCAGTACCTGATCACCAAACCAGAGCATTAGTTTTTTCTAGCAGAGCCTTAAGTCAGCTCTCTGCCACTTGAACTGACATCCATCAGTGGATGCCTCTGTCTCTAAAGCTGTACTGCTCTCAACAAGAACTGCAGTGTGCAAAACAACATCCTAACCAAGCCTGCACAGCATTTGTCAGCAGAATCATTCTCTGCTCCATGTAACCTGTAATTTTATCATTGCACAGACCCTCACTTCTGAAGAGTAGAGGACGAGGAAGGATGTGACACAATACCCACCTGTCTTCTGTACTCCCAAGTTGGGTCATACACTTTCCATCCATTTTCTGGGAAAACCTCTTTGTACTCAAAGGCAAAAAGTGGCTGAAAGAAAGAAAATTTACCTTTAAGAGCCCACTCAGAGCCCATTTACAGAATGTTTGATATCTCAAATAGCAATTCATGACTGACCCTTCTTTTTCCCCACCATCACCTTTCTTTCAGGGTTTTATAAAAAAGATTAACGCTCTCACTGTGTTGTATATTAGTACAACAATATACTTTTCCAATATGTCCCTGATCTTGCCTGGCTATTACCCAGTACTTCACAGACAAAAGAACTTTGTTATTAAAGAGAGAAGATAAAACTACTCAGGCAATCTCTTACAGATTAACAACCAGAGCCTCTCAACCAGCAATTGAAACAATTGCAGTGTTATAACATTAGAAAACATGGGAGCTGCATTCCAGATTTGGGGCAGTGCAGTCACCATTAGCTGTAAACCTCTGATGGATGTCACTGTGATTTGAGTACTTTCCCTCTGTTACAAGGCTTTATCAGTAAGTCGTTCCCCATACATGAAAGAAGGCACTGTAATAGATTTTTCCTGTTTCCTATATGATCTAAACTCCTACAGAATTAAGTTTAAAAGAGATTTGAAAACCAGCACTTCTCATCCCTCAAGAAAATGCACCCCACCTCAATGCAGTATTAAGTAGATGGAACAGAACAAAACAGTTTACTGCTACTCTGTGTCTTTTGGCAAAACCTGAAGAGAAAACACTTACCAGATTATTTGAAACTGGAAAAGCATATTTCATTAGGTTCTCAAATATGGATCGTCTAGTTCTCCCTTCAGGCTTATGCGCAAACCGCAAGTTTCGAATATCCTAGGGGAAGGAAAGAGGGAAATCAAGTTGCAAATTTCTGAACCACTTCAAAATCCAAGGAAAATCCAAAAGTCAGAATTCAAAACGGGGTCACATGACAATGCTCCTTCTAGCACTGATTTGATACTGTACTTTGAACAATGTTGTGTTGCAACGCTGGGCTTGGCTGAGGGGTTGTCTACAGCAACAGCAGTGCAGCCGAGGGAGGGCACAGATGTACCTGACCACAGCATCTTGCCTTCACATGAAGCTCTCCACCTGCTGAAAGTCTTTGGGAGAGCCCTGCTCAGGAAAAAGCTGTGTTTGACCGGCAGGACTTTTGTGAGACAGACTTCCTTGGCTGTCACTAAGCTCTCAAGCCAAGCAGTGCCAAAAGTCCATTGGAGGGGATGGCCTAACAAAGTACCCCACAGAGCTACTGCACGTAGGGGCCCCAAGAACAGCCAGCTGGGTGCAAAGCATCCAATGCCATCTCCCTTTAAAGCTTCCACCTCTCAGAGCACTCAAGAGGATGTCTTGAAACCAAGAACTCCTCCCCTTTGCACAGCAGCACAGTTTAGACAGAAAGTGGTCATTCAGGACCTCCTTCCCATAGTCATCTACAAAACCAAATTTGGAAAGTAAATAAAACATCTCGAAGTTTTTCCAGCCAAGCTTGCAACTAAAATGCTTGCATCAAAGTGTCTAAAACTCACCAGCAGGAAATGAGCCATCGAGTTCAAGTACATGAAGATGGTAGAGCAAGTCAGAGAATACAATAAACAGCTTAAGACTTTGCTTCCTCACAGGGATTACATGACTGGTCTCAGATAGAGAACTTTTCAGGATGTATCTGATTTATCTGTACCACCCTGTTATTGCACTAGGCAGCTGTGCATATCCGGTGAAGCAGGCTGACATCCATAAATAGGCTATGAAGGGCTGAAACACCTATCCTATAGTTTGTGTCTGAATTTCCCATACAGGGAAATGATACAGTTCACTCCAAACCTGACCAAGTGGTTGTAGACAAAATGGCTGAGGACTAGGAATCCAGACCAAAACAGGGAACAAATTAGCTTGCCAGCACAAGCACCCCACCCTATGTTAGCCAGGGCAGATTATGACTCTCATAGGACAAGGGAGCAGCTGGATTATTTGATACAGATTGCAGTAACTGGTCTGGACTCAGCACACCCACAGCTTGACAGTCTGCTTAGCTTCCTGGTGCCTCAAAATCACAGCAGTGACCAGAGCACTTTGGGATTCCTTTTCATCCGTCCATCTGCTCTTATCCAGCATTCTTTTATCATTGAGGGGCTCTGACCAGCTCTGAGCAGCACAAGACCTACAAGGTTCTGGATTGAGCTCTTCCTACGTGCTCACTGAGGGAAGCAGAAGGGCCATGCCACCCAGAGATATGGATTTAGGAGGGGAGATGGTGGCTTTATCTACTTTGTGGGTGTATAGTACCTCTTCTCAAATGAGTGGAGCTGGAGAATGCTGAAAACTACTTTTTAAATCGTGTTTTTTGACACTTAAGTGTCATAAGTGAAGTCATACTGACTGAAACATTTTGCAGAACTTCCTACAGTACCACAGAGACAACCTTTAAAATATATGGTCCCCTTCCTTTATTGTAAAACACAGATAAAAGTTTACCTTGCACACAATCTCCAGCCCGTATGAATTTTCACCACGACTGGAAGCACCTCCAATTTTCTCCACTCTGTTGATTACACCTAAAGATGCATCTAGGACAAAAGGAGGGTCCTGTAGACAGTTGAAATTTGTGAGTTTAAAAAGGGGAGGGGGAAAAATCCCTAGCTCCTGCTCCCTTATGTCTATATTCACAAACATATAGCCACATTTCACACAGAAATACTCTCAAACAACACTCAAGTCTAAAGACTGAAAAGATAGCAAAAGCAGATTATTTCAAAAGCTTACCCGTTCCATGCTTTTAAAATACAGTCTATAGTTGGTAACAGTAAGGGTTCCTCTGATTGCTCCAGTGAAGGGGCAGATGTAAGTAACATCCTTAGCTTAAGGGGAAAAAAAAAAAAAGTAAATTTCACAGTTAATTTATGGGAGAAAAATTATGCCAGCAACAATATTTGTGGGCTCTACCTTGCACATCATGAAAGTAAAACAAGCTTAATCTATGGTTCTAGCCTAGAGCTAACTTGCAAGTTTCAGTTCTGTGGAGAAGGTAAGAGTTTGGGTAGAGACAGTACCATCACCCAGAATTCTCTATTTGCACAAAACTGCTACCCCTGTCAACAGGGCAGTGTTTGGTGCAAACTGTTTGCTCTTGCTGCCAGTAGCTGAGAATATCATGCATGAAAAGAGGAGCCCACTCATGTCTGGATGCACACATATGAAGCTGACAACAATCTGCATAAAAGCTAAGGATTGTGCCCATGATGGTTTGTGCCACCAGGGGCAGGAGAAGGCAGTTCTTGTACACGTGGTTTTTAGGATGTTTAGGTCCTTCTGTACACCTTTGCACGTGGAGTCAGCCCTGGGATGAAGGCCATCATGCTAAAAGCCAGCTACAGAGATTTGTAGGAGCCATGAATCTGTGTAACACCCAGCTGCCAGTGATCTTAGGTCTGAAGTCAGTGATCAAGTTACTCTGCACAATTCAATTATTTTCGAGCCTGAGTGACGGTGACTCAAAACAGTCCCCTTCTTAAATGGCCTCAAACATTTCTCACTTGTTCCAGCAAAGGGAAAGAGGTGCTGCTGGCTTTCCACAGCAAACATCTCTAACTGCCCTCCTGTTTTATATCACTTAAAAATGCCAAGATTTAAGTTGTTGCCTCCTCACCTCTGCTGCCTATCACGCCTTCTGCCACTGAAGCAGTTGTCTGGCTGCATCGTGGCACAAAATAATTTACACTATCATCAACAAGTAATGACACCCCTCAAAAACATAGAGGAGTACCACTGAGCTGCCAGATCCATGAAAAAACTCCTTGGATCATCCGAATAATCTCAAGTCTCCAAGCCCTAGAGGACCCATTTTGCAAGGGCTGTGTTAGGAGGATGGCTCACCTCCCACCCAGGAGACAGCCACCATGAGCATGAGGTGTGAGGCTACTGGGGGTCAGAATGGGAACCTAAATTTCTTCCACCTTTATCCCATGAGATTTAATCCAGAGGGGGAGAGAGACCTTATTCCAGGGCACTGGCAACTCATATAACTAAATCATCCTCAAGTCAGCTCTGCTTCTGCATTGTCTTCATTTACTCTCAAGATCTGGATGTGGAGAAAGATCCTTAAAACACAAGAAGTGACTAATTTGGAGCAAAATATGTAGCACACAATATCTGGTTAAAAAGAAATAAAATATACATATCTACAAAAACATGCTAGTAATTCAATTATTTATTTATTTACATAAATTTACATGTATTTGTTTGAAGGACAATTAAACACAGAATGGTTACAGCCATTTCTAATTAAACCAACTGTTTCATTAGTGTCCAATTATCAATCACTTCTTTTCAAAGACTAGTTTGACAGGGGTTTGAAAGCAGACTCAGGAAGCATAACAAGGGTGAGGGCAGCCTGCCTAATTTTTCCACTAGAGTTCCCATTATTCAAAATATAATTTTGAAATGCTTAAAAAAACTCAGCAAAATCCACTAATAAGAAAAGCGTACATTTACATCTGAAAAGGAACAGGAGTAAAGAGGAAAGGTGCTATAAAAATGTTTTCCAGGTAAGGAACCCCAGGCACGATCTCAAACACTGGCCTTGCCAGCGTGTAAGCCACACCACCTTTCACATTTGCATTTTATTAGCCTGGTTTCCTAAGGAAACAATTTCACCTAATTACACCGCGCATATACAAATGTACCTACGCACATGGTTTGTCTGACCTTAACCCTGCCACAGCTGTATGATTTCAGCAGTCTCTACTTGATAAACAGGGATCTCCAAGGCATTAAAGTGCTTCACTGTTTGTGAGAATGAATGCCAGGTATAATAGAGAGGTTGTAGTGGTGCTATCACCACGGGAAAGCCTAATGAGCTCAGCCTTTGGTATGTATAAGAGAATACATATGGGAGAAAGAAACTGGAAACCACATTTACTGATTCCCCTGCTTGTGGAATTCCTGTCTTTTACAGGCCAATCTTACCCTGGATTATTGGGTTGGCAGAAAATATTTTTTCTTCCCTTCCCTGTAAAATACAAGGAGAATTACATTTGCCTTTCTTCACACTTTTAACAGGAAACAATTATTGCTGATGAATAACAAAGATTTCCTTTTTGCTGCCTTTAGTTTCTTGCTAGAACAGGCAGCTGTTGTCTGGGCTACTCCAAAAGCCACCCAGTCTTATAGATTTACGTGGCTCATCACACCATTTGCCAACAGATAAAACACTGGTAACTCTGACCTCTTAAACCATTCCCTAGGAACCCTTCAAAATACTGCCTCACTGTTAGAGCTAATAGCATCTGTGGAGTGAGTTAGATATCAGTCTGCAGTGTATGGTTGGAGTATGAGTTCAAAGTCCTAAGGACTCTGAGGAAAAAGGTTGAGAAAGAGATTAACTATGGAGTTGGGTTGTTTGGAGGTTTTCTTGCTTGTTTTTATATAGCTGTTGACGGCTGCATTTTTTGGTGAAGTATTTTCAATTTTCATTTTTTGATTTTTTATGTTTAGGACTGAAGTTGCACTCTTCCTTACCATTTTAAGAAGAAGGCAACATGTTAAAAAAACAAATGCAAAATCTTTCACAGAAAATTAATCAAGAGGCTTACTCAAGCCTTCAGGATGGAGAGCATCAGCAAATCTGATGTATGTCAGAATCTCTGGATGAAAAAGTAAGAAACCCATCTCCCATCACAATAAATTCCCTGCAAAAGCAGTGTATCCTTTCCTAAAGCCCACACAGAGATTTGGCACATAATTGTGCTGTGTCAGCCTAGGAAGTTACCCTGTGGCAAGGACAAACTGAAACAGTTGATCCATGTCCTCTCAGGAGGCAGCAAATGCAGAGCTGTACAGCTCACACCCCATCACTCACGGTAAGAGTGTTGAATTGCTTTGTACTTGCTACGTGCTAAAAGAAGACACAGTTACCTTGGCCCATGTGATGTGCAATTGCTCAATTAATGAAACAATCTGATCATGGTTCCCAAAGCATCTGCAATGTGCTATTGTTGATCAGTGACCTCCAAGATATTTTGCTCTATGGAAATTCTACTGTTTGTCAGCAAACAATAAGGAATTTCCTCTTCACATACCCATGTCTTTAATGGTTTCCCCTGGCAGCAAAGGTGGCTCTTCCATTTCAGCCAATTTATTGGCCTCCCTCAGGACCTAGGCAAAAGATACAAGTACGAACTGAAATTCATTATGTTTGCATAAACCAAGAAGTTTACACTTACAAGTCAACAGTATCAAGGACAACAAATATTTAGTGACCTTGAAGTACTGCCTAGGGTCTCTTCACAGGCCAACATCAGGCTCTGTACTTTGGCAGCACACTTCCAAGTTGTCCTTTCATGCTCCAACCTTCTCTTGCCCAAGCCACCTTCACAAGTAAAATTCCCCCACAGTTATGGACAGAGCCAAAGGAATCAGCTCCTTTCCCAAGTGAAGTGCTCAGTGACTACCACAATGACATCAATACTCAGCAGAGCAATTTCTAGTTTACGCTGAGGAAAACTGAAAAGGACACCTTGGTCACTCCACTGTGCTCAGTGAGGGTCCCACAACTGATGAAGTCCTGACTTGACTCAGTTACAAAGGTACTATTTTGACAGATATATATAGGAGGTACAGTTTTGATTTCTTTTTTTTTTTTTTTGGCTGCCAAATGACCCCTTCTTCACTTTCCTTTGGGTTATACCACAGAGCATAAATCCTCAGACCTATGATTGCATTTACACAAAGGCTTTCACAAGAACAGCTGCTATCATGGGACAATGGACATTTTAGGAAAGCACGGCTGTAACTAGGAAAGCATAACCTGAGGTCTAAATCTGTAAGAACTAGGAGAGAAATGCAAATATAAGTGATTAAGATTAAGGTTAAGTCTGTGTGGCCAAATGTAGATGGATTTAATCATGTTGTGCATGCCTTGAACTGGACAAATTACCACAACCTCAGCAGTACAGTTTGCTCAACCTCTTAAAACAGACAGAGAGCAGGTAAGTTAGTCCAGACTCTACTTCATGTTATAGCAACCACAAAACTTCAAGTTCAAGGTTGGTGTGTGTCCCACCTGGTGAAGACAGGCAGAGGGAGCTCATTGCTGCTCACATCTGAATGTGCAGGCTCGCCCAAAATGGTTTTTTTTATCATAATGCAAGGAAAGAGAAAAAAAATTGCTTCAATTTGGTATCAGGAAATCCCTGCAAAGAAAATTCAAAGGCATAGCCTAAAGTGGCATTCTAGAACCTGACACGTCTGTGGTCAACTTTCATGTAGGATCAAGCCAGAGGGAGAGCCTCAGGGAAGAAAAATTCCCTAAACTATGCAAAAAAAAAAAAAAAAATTGGAAACAAACCCAAAGAAAGCCCTTGCCACAATAAGAGCACATTCCAGCATTTTCACACAACAGATTGATGCATAGATGAAAAGATTAACAAGATCAAAGCCTTCTTGAGAACAAGATGTACATTTTAAAAAACGCATTCAAAAGACTTTTAGAAAAAAAATTAATATTAAAAGCAAGTACAGTCCTGGCTTCCTAAGAGAAACCTCCCAACTGCACCCACTTAGATCAGGTCTTACCAGGGAGGCTGCCAAAGCAGCTGGGCTGGGGTCCACAGGATGAGTAAGGAGAGGTCACCATTGACAGAACTCACACTGGCAGCAACTTGTCGGGAAGTTTCTCTTCCCCCACATCAGCAACATCAGTAAAAATAAGGTTGTGCTGGTATAACGAGCAGAAATCGATGCTGAGGACTTCTTGTCAGCACAGCTGTGTTGGCCAAAGATCACACACCCCATCAAAACCCTGACTGAGGGCCTCCCTGACAAAAGCCTGTGATGTAGACCCACTCTCAACTTCTGTGTGTCCAATTTTGTGCTTGAGTAACAGCCCCGAAATTAGCAGGATAACATCTGGATTATGATAAATGAGATGGAAGCTTCTGGCTAATTAGCCCATAAGTGGTGGTCATCTTTTTGGCCCTTTATCTTGGAAGGACATTAGTGAAAATACACTCTGAATTCAGAACATGATCACAGCTTCTTTGAGAAGGTCCTTACCCCACACGGGCAGCAGCTGCTGCCAGGATCACTTTGGTCAACAGCTGGACTCACTGCTCTCCTGCAGATGTCAGCGGGAGCACGTCCAGCAGTAAACACTTGGGGGACTGGGCTGTATCTCAAGCCAAAATAAATATGAGGTAAGACACATAAAAAGCACTTGGTATGACAAACATCTGCTGAGGTGGCAGAGGTGGGTAGTGCTCAGGTGGGTCTTAAACCCTGTCCTGCAAGTGGGGCAGAGAAGGACGGAATTGGCTAGCAGAATGAAAGACACGGACCTCCATGTCAACATCATTCTCTAAAGACAAGGCTGAAAGCCTTTTCAATTTAAAAAGTGTCTCTTCTAGGTCTAATAAAATCCATCTGCTCAGTCACACTTCTCTGAAATGTCCCCAGGATCAGAGGAAAGGGTTAGCAATCCAAACCTGTGCTCACTTCAATGCAGGGCAGCAGATGGCTGGCTTCCTGGAAGCACAGCATTTCAAGGTCAGCCTCCTTGCCTCCCCTCTTATTATTTCGGGATTTTTTTGCTACAGTCTTGAGGACGAAACTCACTTTCACCATCCCTCAAGTGACTTCAGCACAGTACCTATCTTAGGTAACAAAGCATTGACTCCATGGTGATTTCAAAGGTGTAATCACATAACCCCTGGAAAACTGCCATCCTTTCCACAAGGCTGAGACAGACATGGCCAGAAAGCCCAGGACAAACACTTCTCTGTTGTGCCAGTCTATGCACTGTCTGCCCAGCAGCACATTTTGAAGGAGCCTCTAGTTGGGCCATTGGCAGTTGAAACCCAGCCTGGCAGAGACCAAGAAATGAATGGTAGGCATTTTCCTGAAACCCCCCTCCACCAATGGCTCCTTAAAATTCATTCAGAGAAATACAATCTGTGTGGGGCTGAAAATGCAGGCAGCAGGCAGGAGAAGACATCTGCAGCACCAGCCAAGGACAGGGTCACCAGCAGGTAAGAAAAGTGGGTGGATAAGAGAAGAGGAGTTTTGGAAACAGATGACGGAGAAAGAATGGTATGGGACAACGCACATGAAGCTCTGAGATGACGTCAGTGTCATAAATGGGCCCTTTGCGCCTTATATGACTAAGGAGATGACATGAAAAGCCCTTCCATCTTACTGCCAATCCTCCTCTTCCCCTCAAAATCCAAAAACGGTTCATTAAACTGTGAGAAAAATCTTTTTTTGTACATTAACCTATTTTCAAGACTCTAAAAATAACACTCTTGGGCCCAAATTTAGCCCTTGCAAACCTTACAAAATTAAATTAAGAGCACCAGTAGGGCGAGGAAGCAGGGAATGGAGCCAGGGACACGACTGCGGCAGCCTGGCTGCAGGGGGGGGATGGCAGCTGCTGATACATAAATGCTACTGAGGCAGGTACCACATATGCCTGGAGCTGAAATGTGCCACCTCTGTGTGCCTCAGCCTTTGAAATTGTTCAGTGGGAATAAAACCAAAGAATTCTTAGAGATCTGCAATGAAAAACACGTCCAGAGCTGGGCGAATCATTATTACTTAGGAACAGGACCACAATGACTTAAGAGTCACACATGGCTCTTTCTGTCACAATCATCACTAAGATGGTTTCTGTAAGAAACAGATGCAATGACCAAAAACCAGTGGAATACTCTACCTTGCCCCTAAGTCGAACCAGGTCTTCATTATCTTTTCCCCACAAAAATCTTATGCTTGGTAACTGAATCTCTGGAGGAATGAAGTCCTGTTACACACCAGAACAGTCTTTATTTCTGTCTTCTTTTACCAAGTAACATCATGTACTCATCCCACCTGTCAGCAGCTCTCCCTCTAGATGAAACAGCTCTCTAAGAGCCTGAGAATGGGAGTACCTTAGAACCTAAAGACACATCCTGGCTCAGCTCAGAGGGTGTGAGGACTTTGTGCCACCACCTACCTTTGTCCTCTGCTCAAGCAGCAACTTGGCAGAACAAACCCACACTACTACATTCAACAACCACTTCTCTACTCCAGCATCCCACCCTGTGTGAGCTCCAGCACAGTCACCCCCAGCTGAAGGTGCAGAGCTCTCTCATGCCCTCCCAACTACTGCCCCCCAAGACAGGGAAATTGCTGTTTTGTTGAGGCAACCTCCAGATGTGAGCAACAAAATCATCATCTCCTTTGCTTGCATGTATGGGGTCAGGGAGAGAGATTTAGGTCCTGCTAGTAAGGTAAGACTGCTGCAATTCAGGGTACTGCCGTTCTGGCAAGTCTCTCCAACCACATGTTCACACTGCCTCCTAACAAAGCAGCCAGCATGCTGCTACAAAAATCCCTCTCCTGGACGATGTTCCTGCACAATTTGTGCACGCAGCTCATCCTGAGCAGCTGCAGCCAGCCGGGGTGGTACAGAGTTGAATTGCAAGCACCTTCTATGCACAGGTCTTACGGGTCTGTGCACCACTGAACACTGTTCTAGAAAGACCTGAGAGGGTACATGACACTCTAAATTCAGGGTTTGCTTTTTGACCGTGAATGAAAGGTGCTTGCCTACCAGCAATGCTGCACAGCCTGGCTGACAACCCCCGTCCTGTGCTGGCTATGCCCAAGCCAGGACTGCCTCCCGCTACCCTCCCTGCCAGCGCTGTCATTGCTTCAGTGTCTAGTTCAGTCAAGATGCCCAGGGTCCACTTAATTGCTTTTATAATGGAAGTTTTTCCATAACCTGCATCATTTTGCCAGGACTCACTTAGAGTGTGACTGCAGGAGTGAAGGCAAGCAAAACCTGGGCAAGAGAGAAGGAGCAGCTTGAATCAACCAGGGAGAGAGCAATTTTATCCCTGGACACTGCATAAAAGCCTCCTGATAAGGAAGATGCATGAGGAGAGCACCTGAGGTCTCTTCTAGCATCTACCAGATATTCTTTTGTAACTTTCTCCTGAATGTTTGAGTCCTGAAACCCACAAAGGTCAGATTGTTTGGCTTCACGCAAATTAAGGGGAGAGAGGTTTGTGTTACCAAATTGTTGTGTAACAGTTTTCCCAAGTCTGCATAGATTCTTCTATCCTGAATCACAATAAAAATGAGCAAAAGGAATCTTTTTTGGCTTAGACAATATTAAA